CCATTGCACCAACCCCCCACTAGTGATGACGTACCATTACAATGTATCGCTGGTTGGTGGCCATGTTTGCGTGTTTGCTTGTCGTTAGTGGTCTCTCCACCGTGCGCCTTTTTCGTCTCTTATTTCTTGTTATTTTCGGCCTGGTTCCCGTTTTGTCCTCGCTCGGTTATTTCATTTTCTCTTTCCTTACTGTTCTTTTTCTCTCTTTTTCTCTCTTTTTCTGTGCCAGATGGCCTTGTTTCTGCTTGCGTTGTCAAGTACCGAGATTGAACCAAGGGGGTGTACCTCATTCTCTCCGGCCCGTGATGGTGACTCCTAGTCTCAGTTGTTACCTCGCATAGCGCGCAGAGGGAGTGGAGGACTCCAGAATATCTGTCGTTGATTTCTATTGACTTGCGGACCCCTCGGGGCCATTTTATTTGAGTGTACCTCTTTAGGGTAAGTTAGCCTGCGACCACGGGAATCGACCGCGTCAAATGTTGCATCAGTACGGACAAATGAAGGTACTGGGTAGAGAGAGATCGGAACGGTTTTTGATGTGAAGACAACAACAACAACAACAACAACAACAACAACAACAACGACGACAACAACAATACAAGCACAGAAGGGTATCCACATCGTGATATGTATTCTCTTCATCGCCTTGCGCTCGAAAGGTTGCCCNTACAAGCACAGAAGGGTATCCACATCGTGATATGTATTCTCTTCATCGCCTTGCGCTCGAAAGGTTGCCCGATTGGTGCGCATCTTCTTGACAGGTGACTCCACAGCCTACAAAACAAAATAAAAAGTCAGCAAGCTGGCCACATGAGTTGCACACCAATCTCCCTTCGTAGAGTTCCCCACCGCTCTCGGTGTATGTAGTAGCTATATTACATAACCAGACACGCTGCAATTGTGACTGGCTTTTGATAGTTTTGTGATGCTCTGCCGTCGTCAAACCATGATATGTTTCGGGAGTGGGTTTCGAGCACACATGCTGTTGGACATTTCATCCTTCCGTGACACGTACAATTGAGAGTAGCATGCGATCGCTTTTACACATCTGCACATATGCGTACTGTACGCATACTCCATGCGTAAAATAGGCTGGACCAACATTGCTTGGTATGCGATGTTTAGGCGCTGCTAATTGAGCGTGGCATGAGCGCTGATTAAAAACCTTATTTTCCGTAGGATATTCCCCGTACTTCGTCAATCACATTGAGGGAGTCCCCAGACTTGGGCCGAACATGCAGAAGCTCTGTAGTTTTTCGAAGATTCAACAGTGGAGCGCACGGCATTCACAGACACCATAACATGCGTGTAATACTTGTACTTACGCTTGTACATGACACATAAAGGTTGCACGTCGATCCTAATAATGAGTCCGGCCGTCCAACGTACTCATCATTGTAAACAATGCAACACTGCTTGCGTGTGCGTCCTCAGGTCTCTCTCGACACGTGCAGGCAACAGTGTTGGCGGCTGTGCTGGTGATGTCGGTAGCAACACCTGAGTTTGACGAGGTGTGGCGTTGGGACGGGTGGACAACTTCTGATGAGACTCTCACTCATGGCGCGGTCGACTCGGACGGCGATGTTGTTCTCGTGGGGACACAAGGCTACGCGGCCGCAGAAGACCTTGTCGATGACACCTTTGTAGATGCCTATTCCGGAGATTTCGCGGCCGTCAAGTTGGAGGGTGCATCAGGCGAGGTGCTATGGACTTGGACAGCTTCCTCTTTGGGGAGCGAAGCGGACGTCTTTCTGGCAAGTGACACCGACAGCAACAACGACGTCATTATGGGGGGTACAACAGAGGGGTACTGGTCATCTTCCAACCACGACAGTGTCCCACATCTGGCGGCCGTGAAACTTGACGGCAGCACGGGGGATGAGATATGGAGGTACCAAGAACGCCCTCCGGACTCGTACACGTCTTTAGAAAGTTTTTTTTACTACGGTTCCGGCAGTGTGCTAGGTGTGGCTGTCGACGGTGACGATAACTGCTTCTTGGCGGGGCAGACCTATGGAAGCCTGGTCTTCGGCGAGGGTGACCCTGGAGATTCTGATTTCTTCGTCATCAAGCTAGACGGGACGGACGGCAGCGAGATGTGGACGGTACAAGGCGGAGAGTCGACGAGCTTCGATGCATTTCACAACGTAAAGGTGGACTCGGGCGGAGATCTGATCGCCGTCGGCATTGGCGGAGACGAAGACGCAGTGAATGTTGTCGTGAAGTTCAGCGGCACCGACGGTGCCGTTCTCTGGGAATATTCACCTGTCACGTCGTTCACTCATGATGTTCCCCAGTCGGTCGACGTTGACACCCAGGACGACGTGTATATTGCTGGCGGCTACGATGCCCTGAATCTGCACGGTATTCTAGCAGAAACTCCGGTGGTGCTGAAGCTAGACGGGGCGACAGGGGATGTCGTGTGGACCTACGAAGGCGTAAACACATCGAGTGCTGGGTTCTCTCGTATTGCCGTGGATCTCACAACGGGGTGGGTTGTGGGTGCTGGCTGGACGACAGGGACCTGGTTGACGGGTGCAGCTCAAGGCGGCTATGACTTCGCTGCGGTGGTGCTAGATGGGGTCACTGGAGATGAACTAGGGCGCTACCAGGATGGTACCACCGATGACGACTATCTTTCGTTCGTTGGATTTGATTCCGTTGGGGGCTTAATCATAGGGGGGCAATGGACGGACACCGGCGGAGATGAGTTCGTGGCGATCAAGTTTGCACCCTTCGAACTTATAGCGCCTACACCGGCCCCTACCCTCCCTCCAACGCTCATCCCAACGCTCACCCCAACACTCACCCCAACACCCGCGCCAACAATCGCTCCAGTCACTTTGGCTCCCATGACGACTCCTTCCCCTCTAGCCATATCGGCAGACTCGGCGATCCAACACCTGCTCCATTTCAGTTAAACGTACCACCCCTATCCACCCAGTCTCCCGTCGGCCGTGGCTTGACGACACCGGCCCCGACAACTTCGGCGGCTGCTGCAGCAGTGCTCTCCGAGTGGGAAATTGCGACCATCGCAGGCGGGGGGTCGTTCCTCCTTCTACTCCTCGGACTCTGTGAGTGCCGACAGCAGGCTAGGTCGATGGAGCGCGTCGGTTAGAGATTTGGTTTGCTACCGTGAATACCGACGTAAATAAATGATTTTTGTTCAGAATATCCTTACCTTCTTCCGGAGATATGATCAACCCTGCCGTTTTCTTTGGCCTGGGGCTGGGAGTATGTGCCAGGGGATTGGAGAGTTTGCTTCGGCGGGGACAATCTTCAAGGGGACGGCTGAGAATTGATGTTGTTTACACCCCCAGCAAGCTAGGCCATCGGTTCCCGCGGAACAAAATCTCTACACCCGTCATGGAGGGGCTCTACATTATCTACGAGCTCGTGGTGGTGTGAGATGACAGTTCTTCATACATTCCGTAGTAGACGCCTTCCACTCGAACAATCCTGTACGTCGCCCATGACGCAAGTTCTACCCGACGGGAGCACCACTTGTTGGTGGGAGATCACGACGCTCCCCGGCCGGTTCAGTATTGGTATCGAAATTTATAGCTATGCGGTCAGTCGTTTCAATGCGAGAGAAGGGTCGGTGTGAATTGAAAGGCGACAACGCCAACTGAGCGGGAGTCAGTGTCCCCCGTTGGCTTCCGAGAGGTGAAGCCCATTTTTTCTGCCGAGTGGAGTTGCTCGCAGCGGGCCCGTGTAAAGAACGCACGTCGGCTTGTTGGGTCGGTTTTACCTTCGTGGTCGTACCTTTTGAGCACAACGGCGATGCGTCAATTTCTGCCTTATGAGGCCGATTCCATGTGTAGACCGAGCCTTGTGTCTCCTGATCCCGCCTGGTACTGGTCGTTTTGGAGGCTGTCGGGTGACGCTCTTGGAGCACCATCATCCATGTTTGTTTTGTTAGCGTGTAGCGCGTGAAAGGCCGCTTCGATCACTGCTTTCTTCGACGTGTTGTATCCTAACCGCACCTCAGGCCTTATCTGCTTCAGACGCAAGCGCCCTGAAGGTCAGCAACGTGCAGTCAAAGGTGCGTGCGTCGAACTAGCCAGCATCGGTAGGCCTTGGTGTCGGTTCAGGGCTTCCCTGGAGTCAGAGCAGCGGACTGGCGAAGCGGAGCTTGTTTATACCCCCAGTGCGATGCCCCAATCATGCTTGCAACCTCTGTCATGCGATCACCTTCCTCTCAGCAGGTGCATCGCGACCTCTTCCAGTGGAAGGTTTCGGCGATCTGAATGTGCAAGGCGATTTTCTTCAACCTCGACCGGCAGTCAAAGGTGGGAACGGCCTATCGCTCTCATTTGGGCCTGCGAAGCACTCGGCGTTAGCTATTGTTTCGTCGTGTCCGTTGACGTCAGATGGGCAACATGTGGGAAACCTTTCTTGGTTCCGACGGCAGAAAGCACACGTGCTAGCTCCGTCGGTCGCTTTCGGCGGTGTACGTGTACTCTTTGTTTCGCCCTCGATGCAGAAACGGAGGTATCATTCTGTATCGTGAACCCAGCATGTCCGGGAGCTACTTGGGGCTGGTGTCTAGCGCAACCCTCACGTTCATGCAACGGCCTTAGCACTTGCAGGAACCACCTTAGCACTAGCACTTGACCAGGCTGGGATACCCAGCCGTTGTTTGCACACATTCACCCACTGTTTTACCAGAACGAAATCCTTGATCGCTTGTCAGAGGCATCACTTCACACCGTCCCCACTCGCTGGATCGATTGACCGCAGCGAGCGGAGTGGCAGAGTTTGCACCTCCTGCACCTCCTGCTCCAAAGACACCCCTGCCCCCACCGGCAGAACCCCCTCTCCCGCCACCACCGGCCTACAACTCGCCACCCCGTCCACCGCCTGAAGGTCAGAGCTGTTCGGTGATCAGGCACCGTTAATTTACGGAGTGTGATTTAGGAGGAATTATGCCGAAAAGTCGGACAGTGTGCAGCGGGACCGCTGTTGTTCTTTCCACTTGGCTGGGCAGTGACACTTTGATCGTGCCTGCCCTGAACCATCTTGCTGACAACATCTGAGTGAAGCAAGTGTTCATTCCTAGATCAAGAGCTTTCATCGTCGTAGGATATCCGTCGAGTTGAACGCCGTTTGGTTTGAAACCCCACGCAGTTGCTGCCACTGAGACCGAGGAGGTTCCCCCACCGCCACCCTACGAGGAGATGAATGCCCCGGAGCCTGCCGTACCCCGGCTGAAGCACCATGGGAACGACTAGGTGCGTTTTGCGGTCAAGCCTTGGACGAGCGCGCTTCCAACGTCGAGAATGCGGCACGTGTTGGATTTCTGGTCTATATTGATGAGCTGGTGTCATGGCGAGGCTTGAGACCGTGTCGATCTCATTGAATAGTCTCAAGTTCTTTGATAACTCTGTTTCCCTACCTCGTTTTTCGTCGGGTGCTCCGCGATCGTTTTTGGCATGATCGCAACCATGCGTACGTGCATGCGGGTAGAACAGTTTTTGAAAAAACCATCACGCGAACAGGTGAAAGAGGCACGAGGCAAGCAGTGGCACCGCTAGCGTTGATGTTGTCGAGTTGAAAGCACAATTCGTTTTGTCCACTCTACTTCTACTTCTGACAGCGCAAATAATGCATTTCTGCCTCGTCGCCTTCTACTTTCCTGTGCAGCCAAGCGAGTGGCCCGCGTCCCCAGCAAGAAAGCGTTCGAACAGAACTACCGAAACATTTCGGTTAGCCGGTACGCACCGTACGCACCGTCTACAACCGGTCGGTAGTCTAGACTGAAGTTCGTGGGAGCTTTGTTGTGCACCACTCAGGCACAAGGGTTGCAGTTGTAGAGTTCAGTACCGGTTGCACTCATGGTGATCTTGTTCGTGTGTTTGGATACGGACAGGTATTGATCGACCGCAGTAACG